ATTATCTGTCTGTCTGTCTATCTATCTATCTTTTTTAAAATGTATTTTTTATAGGGTCTTACTACGCAGCTCAGATTCCCAGTGATCCTCCTGTTTCCAGCCTCCCTAGTGCTGGGATTACAGGTGTGTGACACAATGTCTGGACTCCTTAGGCTGACTCAGTGTGCCCTGGGGGGTGGGGCTGGTGCAGCATGTGGGACCAGGGATTGAACTCTGGTCCCTGCGCTTGCCAAAGCAGGCGCTTAGTCTGCTGAGCTATTATTTATCTTTTATTTCGCTTTTTACTTACATTTTGAGTTTCTCATAAAGACAAACTAAATAATATTTACATGGCAATTCAATCCTAACATGGCCTTCAGAAGTGATGTTTCTTATCTGGATGATGGGAGACAGGATGGGGGAGAGGAGAAGGACAAGTGAAAGGTATCAGGATGCAAAATGTAGACAAATGTATAGAAATATCCCATGCTGAATAAATTTAGTATGTATCATAAACATACGCTAACAAGTGTTCTGTTTAAATTGATGTTTTTAGACTGCACCAGGACCAGACATGGTCGGCTTACTTCATGGTCAGTGGGAACTGCAGTTTTCCTTTAGACCTTCAAGAGCCAAATAAAAGCAGCCTAACCGGGTGACTGAGAGGAACTTTCTTAGAGCTGTACAGCAGGCTACTGTCCGGACTTGTAGGGCAGATATCATCCCTCTAAGACATCTGCCGGGCCACAAATCTACACTGGGATAAAGTGCAGGAAGTTCACACTAAGCCTTCTCTTGAAGGCTGGGGCTTCCCTTCTGGTGCTCACAAAGGGGACCCAAGAAGGTCCACGGGGGCAGACTGGATGTACCCACGAGGCTTTCTGTGCTGTTATCAAATATCTACGCAATGCTTACTCTACTTGTCAAGCACAGAACCCTAGGTTAATCTTCACTATGAGACGGGTACAGATTCCGTGTGAGAAGCTCAAGTGGACGCGCCCAAATCCCATAACTAAGAACAGGGACCCAGGAGACGTGGATGCCGAGTTGATGTGCATGACTTCGGGGCTGTGCTGCCACGGCAAGGACCTGCCTCCCCATCTGCCCGCTCCCAACCCTCTGGCCAATCTGGGACATTTAATTTTTCTCAGTCACTCCAGTGAGCGGCCACAAGGGGGTTAAAAAGAGCCCTAAAGGTTAAAAGCAAGAGTACCCCAGGAGAAGTTTCTATGACTCCCCCCCTCTGCGGGAGGTTTCCCCCAATGCTACGAATATAAGAAATCTCGGTTCCTCTTTCTAAGAAAGGCTAGAAATTATTCTTCATGTGGTAACTGTTCCATTTCAGGGAATCTCTGTAGCACATTTCCCTGGGAAAGCAGAAGAAGATGCATGCACAGAAAGAACTCTTAAGATGTGCAAGTGGTTCTTTTGAGGAAGATGTATCTCAAGAGCTTTGCACTGAGGCCAATTTCAAAATAAGCAGATTTCCAACGTCTAACAATGGGCCAGTGTTGGAGGTTATTGAGTAAAAAGTCAACAGGGGAAAGTCAATTACACTATTGACAGATACTCTTACAAGAAGATTTCACATCATAATTATATGCAAAGGAACCCGGCAAATACAAGCTGTGTAATAATCAGCTGATAAAAGTAACACTTCATCTATGTCAATAACAGTTTCAGAGTTAAGACAAACAAACATGGCCTTTGCCACTCGGCCGGAGGGGGTAAAGGCCCTGAAAGACAAATATTTTCACTTAAGGAGAAGTGCTTAGACTCACACAGAAAACCTGTCACACAAAGGAGAGGAGGAAGTTGGTCTTTAGTGGGGGCTAATGACTCTCCAGGCAGCGGCCCCTGTAAGTGCTGGAACCCACCTTCCAACCCCCTCCTGGGCATGCACTGCCACGTGGTCTGGAGGCTGACAGCCAGCCTCATGCTACTCTAGTCTTCCCTGAATTGTTTTCCTTTCAACCCCCATTGAATGTAGTGGGCTCAACAAACATGGGTCTAAGTTAAAAACTGCAGTGAATATGAAAGAGTGAAACAGTGTTTGTCCCACATACTTCTTAATGGGTCTTACTGACACCGATTCTGCAAATGCCCACTTTGCTGTGTTTCTGTTCATTATTTTCCGGAAGGCACCTCAGTGCCTATTTTCCCTACAACAAGCAGAGACACCAGAAACAAGGCAGAGATGCCAGAAACAAGTGTCCCCAATCTTACCGAGCTTGCTTGCTTTCTCCCTCTAATTTCCCTAAAAACTAATGTGAACAGTGTAGCACTAATAGACAACTCACTGCTAATGCTCAGGAGCTTTCATTTTGTTTCTGCAAACATTGCAGTTGAATATTTTATCAGAACTATCCTGCTCAAAACTCCTAGAGGCTCTAGAGGGTCACTAGATGCTTTTACAGTGGATGGACACTTAGCAAACCACACCCTTAAAAGACTACAGTCCCTCAGCCTCCTGTTCACCCTCCGTATCTGATTCACACCCTGGGGCTGTTCTGGATGATGCACACCACACTGTGCTTTACCACTTGGCTCCACCAACAGGGGGCGCTATAGAGACCACACAGGTGGTGGATTGTGCAGGGACCAGCTCTGGCCTCTGGGTTTTCAGCTCCTGCTGTCCTGGCAACACCTCTACCCTCAGTCCATCAGCAGCAGGGGTACACTGCAGAGGCAGCTGTGGAATCCAGTCTGGGTTCTTTCAGCACTCACAAGACCACATACCAATGTGCACCTCCTCCTCAGATGTGGGATTCCAGGCCCCACCCACCCCTCAGCTGGAGTCAGAGTGCTCCAGGGGTCAACACTGCGACCTCTTCCTTTTGTTCCCTCACATGGTCCCTCTAAGGTACTCTGAGTTCTCTCATTCACTCGCTGGCTACCTGCTCAATAGCTTTCTATCTGGTGAACCCGACCTCTAGGTCCCTCTGCTCAGTTCTCCCATGTGAACCTGACTGATCAGGCTTGCTGTGGAAAACACTGTGGCTTCTCACTTTGGAAGGGCCTGACAGAGTGGCTAGAGGAATCGGAGGAGAGGCAGCTCTGGACAGAAACAACAGTGTTTTCTAGCTGCAAGCTTACGTCCTAACGAGATCCCACTTTGGGAAAGTATTGGGAAGGGATGATGCACAAGCTGAGGGAAAGAACACCTCTAGAGGGCACCTATCAGGGAAATTTGTGATCCCGTGTGAACATGTTACAGCTAAATGAGAAGGAAGCTCCTGCCAGAGGCCGCCCCAGTCCCTGGCTGCTCCTTCATCCCCTTCTAGAACGAATGGCTGAACGCATGGGAAATGCTAAGCTTACAGGCACTCAAAGTACGGTTGAGACAATACATCCCAAGTCTGTATTGAGAATCTTCTAATGAAAATATACTGTTGCTCCACACAAAATAGTCTACAGTCTCCAAGTCTTCTCTATCAGAAAAGTAAACTAAGAGGTGAGACAGGAAAGAGTTTAAGAAAGCAAGAACACGTCTGTTGTACAAAGTGAGGCAAGGGGATTGGTATTTTGGCTTCATGGAAAAAGTTGATCACTTAGGAACACAAGAATTAATGATCTGAAGATAACCATGAAAGACTACAGAGAAGTTTAAGGAAAAGACCTTTCCCGTGTGTTTTTAGAAAACAATCCCACGTCACATTGGCAAGAGTGATGCACAGTTCTCTTTAAGAGCAACCCCTGCTCTAATTCCTCCCAACTTCCCTCATTACCGGGTCTCAGACCCCGCATCTGATCTAAAGATTAAGCGATGTCCATTGTAACAGAAGTAGGTGGGTTTGCTGGAAGAGTGAACAGACAGGGGCTTGTGGAGAAGCACCTCATACTTGATTTACATAGGGAGTGTCTGATCCCATGCCTGCCTCCAGCCCAGTGTGGTTCTAGGATGGTTTCCTTAGGGACATGAAACACCTGAAAGCAAAAGTGTTCTAAGGGGCCAACTTGATGTCTAAGTGCAGGAGAAAGGGGGGCCGGAGGGGGTGCAGCTCAGAGAGAAGAGGGTTTACAGCCTGTGCCTAGCACTGTGTTGCAAGTGCGAGGCATCAGTCACCTACTGAGTGACACCTTGTCCCCACCCTCAGCAAGCAGACTATTGAGGACAGAATAAGGTACACTGTGAAGTTACTAACAGAGAGGGCCATGTGTCAAAGACCACCACTGTGGCAGGGGGTGGATGGGCCACAGGAAAGAGAACACCACCTTGTGCTGGCTCCTTCAGGGAAGTACTGACAGGGATGATGCACAAGCTAGGGAAATCTATGTAGGAGAAGCAGGGTGACGGAGATGGGAAAACACCAGACATAGGTGATGAACAAATCCGGCTCACAGAGAAGGGAAGCTGGAGGTGACAGGGTGAGGTGGATGGACATGGAGGTGGCTCTGCTGAGTCACAGGCACATTTTATGAAACTGGTCTGACAGTGGCTCACAGATGGCAGGAAAATGGGAGGAGGAGACTGGTTTGAAGCTAGTGGGGGGCCCTAATCTTGGGCTGGCAGTGGAGATGAGGGGGATGGAAAAAGGAATTTCCTGACCTGAAAGCAGGGGAATGATACCATGGCTACTCATAGGCCACTTAACCAAGCACGTATCACACATGATTGACTTGTACTGCAGCCCATAGTTGGGGGGAACGGGTGCAGCAGACAAGGAAATGGGGCCCAGACAGGACAGACACGGCCCAATGTTGCAGACCCAAGAAGTGACAGGGCTGGATCTGGAGCTGGACCTGTCAGCCTCGCATCTAGCAACCCAGCCACACTCTCCTTCTATCTACTTTAATCCTGCTTCCTTAGGCAAAAGGCAAAACAAAACTACCTTAGTTTAATTTGTCCCCATTTCTTCACCTGCAAAAGGACCAGTAGGATGGTTCTATAGTATAGAAGCTGGCGTTTGGGCTATAGATGCTGGAGGTTACTCTGACTTTGTTGAACACTGAACTAGGTTGGCCTTCAGTGGTTAGAGGCTGGTCCCCTCGACCCTCTGCTCCTCAGGCTCCTCTCTTACCTCATGGCTGCCGTCATTCCAATGGGAGTGATTGGCAACGGCCGGACGCCAGGAAACAGCCCTCGGCTCAGAACCCGCGCTCCATTTTGTATCACTCCTGGAGGAACTGCAAAAGCAGAAAGGAAAAAGATAACATCCGTGAGTCAATGGCAACAACTTCTGTCTTAAGTCCGAAAGTCTGGAAGAAGTAGGGAGACAGACTGAGGGAGGAGGAGGAGAAGGATGAGGGAAATGAAAGAAGTAAGAGAAAAATATGTACATACATGCATGAGAAAGAGAGAGAGAGAGAGAGAGAGAGAGAGAGAGAGAGAGAGAGAGAGAGAGAGAGAGAAGTGTTAAATAGAAAAGACAGAAAGACAATTGATCAGGAAAATCAGACCAATAGCTTACTAAGAATTGATACCTAAGGTTTAAAAAAAGAAGAGTTTGCAACCACAGGCTTCAAATACCACTTTCTAGCCCTCATTAACATAATCCCTTATCTTTGGTCATATTCTCACATAGATATGGAAGGCCAGCAAGTGATCCAACAAATACATTTCCTCACACTACTCAGGCCAGGCCCAGGAGCTGAGACTATCTTCCTATTTGTCCTTCATCCGACACAGGAGAAACACAGCCAACAGTAACAGCAGAGCCGATTTTCCAAGCTTCTTGAACTCTCAGCCTCAAAACAGCCCACCCTTATGATGCTCCTTGCCGTCAGATCCCTGCTCGGGTGCTGGGGAGGAAAGAGCTAACCTCTAGGTAACCTCTGTTGTCGGCCTCAGAGTCTCAGAGAAATGGGTCTGGAGGCCCAAATCCTTCCTCTTTCCAACTAAATTTTCGCTTGAGTCCCCATAGCACATGCACACACATCCCTGAGCAATCCTTATCCTGCCACCGTTGGGCCAGTGACCCTGACATCCACCCACAGACACATGTGAGCTCGCTCTACAGGACACCGATGCATTCTCCATGTGTACTCAGTGGCTGCCCACTGCTGACTGTCCAAGGATTCACATGACAACAGGGACACTACACAGAGTCGCCAATATTAGACTGTTTTTTTTTTTTTTTTCCCAAATCTCCCAACCAGCAATTTTATCTAAGTCAAGCGAATCCTCTTATCACCTGCCACATCTATCCCGTGTCTGTAGGGCCAGGTGACACTGCCAATGGAGAGCACAGATGGGTTTGACCTTAGTTCTTGTATGGCTCACACCACAACAGATTCATTTCCCTCTCTGGACAGTGTCCCTCTAAGACCCTGTCTGTTCCCTAAAGGGCTTGGAACAGACCCCTACAAGTGCAAGAAACCAGTTGTTACCAAGGCTACCAAAAAGTCTAAAAAATGATGAAAACCCCCAGCCTGGACTTTAAGTGCTTAAAGCCAGTATTATTTGTGTTGAATAAATACTTCCTATGAAGCAAATTACCTATAGTTACTCACATGATTGTTAGGTCTCTAAGACTGTTTCTTATAAATATTCCAAACTTGTAACTAAACATTCTTCATGCTAGGTGAATGTCCACTCATGAAAATGGGATAATTTTATATAGACTACTGACTTCTCAGGTATTCTGCATAGTTGGTTCATAATTTTTACCATTTCTCCAAGTTGGCCATAAGGCCCTTGTTATGAAGTCTTACAACAGGCAGGATGGGAGATAAAACCGAAACTCTTGCCAACCTCAGTGGCATCGAGTGCAGTCTAGTGTTCCAGAATGATCCTAGTCTCTTACCATAGCCAACTGCAAGAGTAGACAGAGAAGATCAGGAACTCCTGCTATCCCTAATCAGCAGCTGATTTTGGATGATAGATTAGATTAGCTGAGAAAGGAGATGGTGTGGTACTGTAGGATAGACATAAATCAAAGGGACCAAATGGAATCCAGAAATAGAACCCCAAGTGTGGTCATCCGAATTTTGCTAAGAGTATCAAGACCAAACAAATGGAGGAAAAGAGAACAACACAACAACTAGAAATCCACTTAGAAAAAATGAACCTCAGCCTTACTTTCATGCACATACAAAAACTAATCAGAAATGTATCACAGAGTAAAACATAAGAACTAAAACAATAAAACTTCTAGAAGAAAATGTAGGAGGAAAATATCACTAATTTTGAAGTCCAGACAAATGCAGAAGGCCAGCAGGACTAGGGAGTTTGTAGGCAGGTTGCTACAGAATACAGAGGATGTTTTCTGCTCGCCTGAGGGAGGGGTGCTCAAAATCTTGCTGCCTGGCACTATCCTAGAAATGGTCACATAACCACAGGCTGAGCTCAATTCTGACGTAATGTTTCTGTTACTCTGGCTTGCATGTGGAGCATCAAATGAATGTCATACAATAGGCCACATGGGTAAGTGACTTACACAGTGAAAAATCTGAATTATACTGTGACCCTTGTCAGTAAAATGGTGACAGTCCCATACACAGGCTGTATCAATTCATTATTAAAACTTTTGTAAAGCATCTTGCTATGTATTAGCTGTATCAGGTGGTTAAGGACCTAGAGTAACTATACTGAAGTGAGACAGACAGCATTTGGGACACTGAATACATGACACGGTAAGCATTTTACAGGCTGTAAGCACAGAGGGCAACCCAGGAAGACTTCCTCTAGGAAGCGACAATTACATGGGAATTCTAAGCCAGAGAAGGAGCACATACAAAGACCTGAAATTGATTTTTTTTTTAAAAGGTAGAATGTATACAAGAAACTAAAAGTTATTTTGCTATAGCATGTAATAGCAGTGGGAGTGGGATGCATTTAGACATTGGTCAATGGGACTTAGGAAAACCATTACATAGTTTGGAACAGGAAAGGAACCTGCACTAAAGTGGCTGCTACGATCAAGCATCCGACTACCCTGCGTCTGCGTGCTATCTCTCTTAAACTCCTGATAGCCTCTAAGCAACTCCTTAAGTAAGCGGGGAACAAAACAAAGTCTACCACTCAAGGTACCAGGAGATTTAACTGATTCAATAGAGTCACTTGCATTTAGAACATGTGTGTTTGGAATTTTTAAATATTTATTTACTTATTTATTTGGGACAGGGTCTCACTGCAAAGCTCAGACTTGTAGTGATCCTCCTGTCTCAGCCTCCCCTGCACTGGGATTACAGGCATGCACCACCATGCTCCGTTTCAGGGCCAGCATGGTGTGTGCCTGGGGATTCTGGGGATAGAACTTGGTTCTTGTGTTTGCCAGGCAGGCACTTAGACTGCCAACTTATCTCCCCAGCCCTCACAGAGGAATTTTTATGGGGCCAAGCATTCTGAACTTTAGGTGAGCTGGACACCCAGAAGTATGGCATGAGAGAAAAGCCATACCAACAAGACAGAACTGAGTCATCCTGGTGACGCAGTGGCTGATGGAACAGTTCTCACGATGTTTAGTTCTCCTTGTGAGCTTTACCTCAGTCACAGGCCCCCCCCCCAGCACCTCACATTGCACAGAGATGAGGGAGCCCTGTGGAGTGGAAGAGAGCACACCAGTCATGGAGTACATGTGCTTCTCTGCTCTGGCATGGCCAGGAGTCACTTGTCTATGAATATGAAAGAAGAAAAGTGGCCTGAAGACAGCGTCTTGTCATGGGATCCTCTGCCCAGGCCCCAAACCTCCAAGCACCAGAGGCAGCCAACAGGGAGGGAAAGCTGAAGGAAGCCAGTCTGCGCCGAGCACGCCCTGGAGACTGGGAAATGTGGCTGCTCCTCATAGAAACCCATGGGCAAGATGCACGCTGCAGGGGCTGCAGGCTCTGTGCAGCACTGCTCAGCTCAGTGATTGGCTGGCCACATATACCACCACCACCACCATGACCACCACCGCCACCACCACCACGACCACCATTGCTGCCACCACCACCACCGCCACCGCCACCGCCACCGCCGCCGCCGCCACCGCCGCCGCCACGGCCACCACCACCACCACCACTGCCACCACCACCACCACGACCACCATTGCTGCCACCACCACCGACAACCTACCACTCCACATCACTTCTATAGTGACTTCATGAATTGCATATAATGAGGCTTAGGAAGGTCAGAACATGGGGAATGTCTACCATTTATATTACGCTGTTTGTAATTAGCCGTGACTCTCCTCTTCCTTGTTAGAACATCTTCCTCATTAATGAGCTGTATTCACTTTAAAGAGAATCTCACACTGACCCACAGCACCGCAGAGCTCGCCTGCGCTGTGCTTTGTGCCCCACAAGACTTGGCGCATGGCTCCTGCTGGGCTCCTGCTCTGAGCCTTACAGCCTGCGCTCCGACAAGCTGCATGGAGGGCAGTCCCTGCTACCCTGGTGCTTCCTGCGCTCCCTGGCAGCACTCTCCTGCTCACTGACTGCCAGGAGCCAGCTGACTGTCCCCTCTCTTCTCCTTTCTGTTCCATGCCCAAGCATCAGGAATGTGGCTTGTGAACAGTGGCATCACAACTGGTATAAAATAACTCTGCCTGAGAAAAAAATTCTGATGTGCTTATCCCCTTGCTTCTTCCTGGATCCAGCAGAAGTACGAGTCTGTTCTTCAGCTGGTGGCAGTCAGCACATCTACTACTCCTCTTCTTTTACTCCGCTTCCCTTGACACCAACACCTTCACTACTCACCCGCCCCACAGTGCACTGGAAGCAGCTAATGCCTGCCTAACTTAGAGCCTTTGCGGCTCTCACAGGAAGAGGCCCAGGGCTCAAGCATCATCCTTTGGTATAGACAAATATGCACCTTTTATGGGAACTGAGACGCAGGTCTGGAGCTCTCTAGCTGCTGGGATAAAGCGCGGAGGACTTCAGCACTGGAACCCCCAATGCCTCCCGGGGTTCTCAGAAGTTAAGAGGGTGACTCTAAACTTGCTGACTTTAGCATGAAAGTGACACACACACACACACACACACACACACACACACACACACACAGAGGCAGATCAAGCAGCATCAGTCACTGTAGATGCCCTCAACTCACAGGACAATACCAGTTGGAGAATCTTAAAGAGCAACACAGAAAGTTCTGAGGCACAAGACAAACTCTTCTGCCCAACGGGTTGTCCTTCAGCCTCCCTCTTGATTCACAGATCACTTGATTTTTCCCTTCTAAAATTAACCCTGGCACTCCT